GCCATATTGCAATTCAGGGGAGCAGGAGAAAACACGAATAACATGACTTCTCAGCTCTTCCACACAGTGGACCTTGCCTGGTGATTTGATATATTTGAGAGCAGCTGGAGTCCTCTCAAGCTAATATCTGCGGTTGTAGATCATACTGGTGAAGAAGTCTCATCAATTAATCTGTAAGATCAGACTTAACTGTGATTTCTGGGAGACCTTGGCAGACCTGGATGCCCTGTGTCCACCACCCACCTGATCCCACCCCTCCCCCTCCACAAATCATGTTGAGATGGGTTGCATTGATGCTTCATTTGACCTTAATTTGACTTGGATAACATCCAATTAATGAGCTGTCATATCTGTATCAGAATGTTGTAGCTTATGAAAATACCCTCTTTCTGAAATGTGCATGTGCATGTGTGTGTGTTTTGTTGTTGTCGTGCATGTTATAAAAAATAAAAGGCACTGAATACGTATTTGTTGAATGAATTATTAATTGAGATATACTTGGGAAAAGAAATTAAGGATGAGAATACACAATCCTTTCTCTTTCCCATCTGAGAACTCAGCCGTATTAACTAGGTGGTAACCACATGTCAGTTATGTGCTTAAATCTGGGGACAAGCAGTGACACAGGCCTACATCACATCAGGACCATGGCTCATCAAGACTGGAAATCAATGGATGTATCCAAGATGACCGTCACTGCTATTGGAGGTGACAGGTTGCTGTACAGAGTTCTTGAAACCCTAGCCCCAGTTAAAGTGGGCCAGAACCAGGAAAAGAGTGCAATTTCTCAGAGTCAGCCACTCAAGACAGTTTGTTGTCTTTGCTGAACCATGTGGCAGAGGTATGACAACGACTTCATTTCCCAGGACTTTTTAGTCTATTGTAAAGGTATTTGCTGCCCTTGGCTGTGCAGTACTTCGGGGCTGATCCAAGTCAGTTCTTTTGATGTCAACATGAGTACCAGATTGCTTCTCAATCTACAGGAACTGCATTCCCAAAAGATTTCTCCAAGTCTTCTGTAGTGGCATCTTGCCTTGCCAGTGAACTTTAATGGCCACACCCTTTGGGTGTGATTTCAAGTGTGGATATGATCCCTTTAAAGTGAAGGAGCTTCGGACACACTCTTGCCTGGGTCGAGGAAAGCATCAGCAGGGTAGAGACTGCATCTTCTGGAGCAGGAAGGCCACAGTAGTTATTTACTCTTATCTGTGTAAGTTGTTACCCAATGAAACACCTATTTATCTTTTATCTTGGGTCTGGTGAACTCATTTAAACCCCAACTTCAGTGTCCCCTGAACACACACTGCTAACTATTCTCCTGTTCTGTGTGCCTCTTGCCTGCAGTTTGTGTTTCTCCACACAAGCATGTCTGAAGCACTGCAAGAGCATGGACATTGTGGGTACTGCTCACCGGGCCAGTGTTAACTATCACCGTACTTCTCAGTGTTTATGCACACAGTCTAACCTTGGCTCAAATGCCATTCTCTTTCCTTGACACATTTATTCAAGCCACCCTCCTTCACAGCTTTGCTGAGACCCTGTCTCTGGCACCAGCCTTTCTCTGTGTGACTATTCCTTGAGATACAGGCCAGTGGGGTTGCTGTTCATTATGCATTTCAGCATATCTTCTTTTGACACAAACTTCCTCCTCTTTTTTTCTGCCCACAAACTAGAAAATGAGGGCCATCTTCCCCTACAGCTCTTGAGCTACACTGAGTAGATGGGTAGGTGTTGCCAGATACGCTGCTTGAAAATTCTGTCAAACAATTGCAACTGTGGATGGATCACTGCTGTGTTTACCTCTGCATCTCTGAACTTTACTTCGATTAACTTTGGCTAGTGTCATTAATCCAACCAGTCACTTTTTGATAACATGCTTGAGGGCGTATACACACATACTCACACACACACACACATGTACACAACTTGTGGATTGTTATGAAGATTAAATAAAATAGTATGCATGGAATTTGTTACACATTGGCTTTTAAAGTTTGCTTGTATGATATATATGTGATATATAAAAAGATTGTGTGTTTTGTGAACTAGCAATGTATTCAGGATTTTATTGGTCATATATGGAGAGTTTTGCTGTGACACATGGACCATTCCCTGGCTCTGGTTATCCTTCCTTATGTCATTTTCATATGATTTTGAGTTATACACTCAAGATCTCTTAATTATTTGGGATGCAAAGTATCTCCATTTTAGTTAAGTTGGGATACACAATTTAAACAATTAATAACCATAGTAAATAAGAGGTCTGGAATAGACATTCACAGACTTTAATCTGGCACACAAAAACAGTAGGGACAATTTTTAAAGAAAGCCTGAGACTGGGCACCAATCATCGTCAGCATCCATCTGAAGCAAGATCCTACTGCACATCACTCAGATGATCTGGGTACCTTTTCCATTCCAATGTAACAGTGTTTTAAAAATATCCCTGGTAGAGACCACTATTCATGAGGGTTATTTTTCTCAATATATGTTTTTACTTAAAATAGAAACATGCATGTTTCACATGTCAATCCCAGGTCCCCCTCTCACCCCTCCTCCCTTGTTCCTCCACCAGCGCCCCAGCTCCCCCACCCAATCCCCACACCACTCCCCATGGAGGGTGAGGACCTCCATGGGGGGGAATCTCTGGAGTCTGTCATTTCATCCAGGGCAAGACCTAGGCCCTTCTCCATGTGTCCAGGCTGAGAGAGCATCCTACATGTGGAGTGGACTCCCAAATTTCATTTGTACCCCACGGTAAACACTGATCTACTACCCAAGGCCCAGAGATTGCTGAGGCCTCCTCACTGACACTACATTCATGGAGTCTGGATCAGGCCCCTGCTGGCCCCTCAGACATCAGTCTTGGGTTCAAGAGCTCCCCCTTCTCTGGTCAGCTGTCTTTGTCGGTTTCACCAGCACGGTCTTGACCACTTTGCCATGAGGGTTATTCTTGCCAGCCCAAAGTTTCCACCGCCCGGCTTTGCTTGCATCTTAGTGTTGTGATAGGGTCTTACTTAGGTTGTTGTTGCTATGATAGAGCACCGTGACTGTAGGGAAAAGGGACCAGTCAAAGAAACACACCCTGAGCAAAGCCAAAGAAACACACTTTGGCCCTGCAACCAAAACCAAAGAAATGTACCATGACCCTGAAACCAGTGCCAAAGAAACATGTATGCATCTTGAGTCACAGTGCACATGTGGGAGTCAGAGAACAACATGGAGAGCAGATTCTCTCTGACCACCATGTAGCTGCCACAGAACTCAGGCCATCAGGTGTGACTTTACCTAAGAAGCCATCTTGTCAGCCCCAAGGTGATAGAGGCAGGATCTCAGTGTGTGCTATGAGGTGGAATAAATGGCTTACTTGACAAGAATAAATGATTGGAAACAACCCAATTGTCCATCAGCAGACGAAAGACATGCAAATTGTGATATATACATATGTTACATTACACACACACACACATACATATATATGTATATGTGTGTTCTGGCTAGTTTTATGTCAATTTGATACAAGCTAGAGTTATCTGAAAAGAGGGAACCTAAATTGAAAAAGAGCCTCCATAAGATCCAGCTGTAAGGTATTTTCTTACTTAGTGATCAATGGGGGAGAGCCCAGCCAGTTATGTGTGGTGCCATCCTTGGGTTGATGGTCCTCGGTTCTGTAAGAAAGCACAGAGCAAGTCAGTGAGCAGCACCCCTCCATGGCTTCTGCATAAGTTCCTGCTCCATGTTCCTGCCATGAATTCCCTCATGTAAGTCTAACTGAAACACACCCTTTCCTCCTACTACAAACTGCTTTTGGTAATGGTGTTTCATCACAGCAATAGCAATCCTTAAATAAGACTTTCTCTCTCTCTCTCTCTCTCGTTCTCTCTCTCTCTGTGTGTGTGTGTATGTGTGTGTATGTATGTATGTGTGTATTGTGTTTGAATATTATTCAACCTTCAAAATGAACAGAAATTCTAACATGTAACAACATGAATGAACCTTGAAGATACCATGTTAGTGAGTTAAGCTAGTCACAGAAGAACTAGTACCATATGATTCACTTACATGAGATCCTACACTAGCTAAACTCATGGAGGGGCAGAAAATGGAATGGAGAGCTAGCATCCAGGAGTAGGGCAAGCTGACTCTGCAGCATGAAGCTCAGAAAATTCTGGAATGGATGATGGCCATGTTTGCAAAATGAGTATACCTCATGTTAACTATGAACTTAAAATGGGTAAGATAGCAAATTATATGTGTATATGCTTAATGACAATAAAATATCTTTGTTGGTAAAATGTAAGTCAGCTAATGTTTTATTTTACAGAGAGGTTCCGGTGCTACTGAGACACTACTGGCTATGACAGGTCTTTACATGTCTGCCACTTCAGAAGTTTATATTCAAGTCTTAGATGACAGAGCACAGTGTTTGAAGATAAAGCTGCCACAAAAGAGAGATAATTGTATTTAAATTTTCATTGGAGACATAGTTTGAACAGTCAAGTGCTTGCCTAGCACGCCCAAAGCTGTGGGTTTGATCCCCAAAACCACATGAACGGAGGAGCATGGTGCCTGGAATCCTGGTATTTTGGACATGGAAGAAGGAGGATCAACCTGAACAACATAGTTAAGGGCTAGCCTGGGACACATAGGACTGTGTCTGAAATCCAGCAACCAAAAGAAATGTGGCTTGTTTTCCTACTGTGCCCTCACATGCTGGAAGGTAGGGAGAACCCATTTCAAAATGGATGTAATGGTTAGTTTTAACATTAAACTTGACATAATCTAGAATTCCCTCAGAAGACCCTCAATGATGGACTGTTTACAACTAGTTGGCCCATTGAGCAGTCTGTGAGCTGTTGTCTTGAACATGCAGGTCGATGTGGCGAGACCCACTGACTGGAGGCAACAGCATTCTCTGAGGCAGATCCTGAACTGTACTAAGTGGGGAAAGGGAACTGAGTAGTAAGCACACACTCATCCTCTCTGCTCTTGGCTGCAGCTGTGACCAGCCTCTTCGAGTTCCTGCCTTGACTTCCCTGCAATGATATTCTGCAGCCTGGCATGGGAAGCCCAGCAGAACTTCCTTCCTTCAAGTCCACAAGGGGATGAGTAAGAAACAGACAGAGCTAATTCCTACTTCCACAAAACAGTAGAGGTAGGAAAGTAGTTGCAGAAATGAATGTAACTGGGAACTGAGTGGGAGCAATTTTAATTTCTGGTCAAAATCTAATGTGCTTGCCATGGATTTTCCCAGTAGGAAGATGTGTGGCCTTTTGTGAATTAGTCCTTGGCTACCTTGAGACTCAACATCACAGCCCGGGACCAGTGTTGCTGGGGAGGGGGCGGCTCTCTCTTCAGACCTCTGTCATGGGAGGTATGTTTTAATTCTCCATTTCTCTGTGTCCATGTCTCATGTCATTCAGTGAGACTTTGTCATTTTCCAGCCCTTGCTTCTGTTCTGTGCATGTTCTATCCAGTTAGAAAGTTAGCGTTTCGTTCCCAGAATTCTAGGCTTTTTATATGGCCATAATTCTTGTTAAAGGTAAGCCAGCCACAAGCCTGGTTAAGCTTTGCCAAACCTCAGTTATTTTTATTTTAGCACATGTGTGTATGTTGCAACTCAGGTATTTCTATTTTAGAACACTTGTGTGTATGATGCACCTCAGTTCTTTCTATTTTAGCATGCTGGTGTGTATGCTGTAGAATTTCTACAACATACAAATGGTTCTTGATATGGTCATTTACCAAACGTATCAACAATGGTGTTTTTCAACCTCTATCATAGTGCAGAGCCTCTGTTCCAGACCTAGGTTTCATAAGCAATGCAGCCTGCAGCTAGAGTCTATATATAATTGTTGCAGGATATTTGATCATACTGTGAATCCTGATGTTGCATCAATTAAATAAAATCAACCTTGGGTCAAGGGGCAGAACCAGCCACTAGTTGACAGGGAGTAGCCATAGAGAGTTAGAGGGAGTTTCTCTGTGTAACTTTGGAGGCTGTCCTGGAATTAGCTCTTGTAGACCAGACTGCTCTTGAACTCACAGAGATTAGCCTGCCTCTGCCTCCCAAGTGCTAGAATTAAAGGTGTGCACAACCACTGCCCGGTGTGAAACCAAGTTTTTTTGTTTGTGAAAAAGTGAAGCTGGCCATGGAGCGTGGGGGTTTATGCCTGTAATCACAGCACATGGGATGCGGGGGCAGGAGGATAATATAGAAGAGGGTAGCCTGGGCTTCATAGCAAGATGCTGTCTAAAATGAAATAATAAAGTCATAAAAAACAAAATAGTAATGTAAAATGCCCAAGCGAAGCAGGCTCATTTAAAGGAATATGTTTGACACTAATTCTAGTAGTGTCCTAGTACCCTTTTAGTGTAGACAGCTGAGGGGTGCCATCTATTAAGTGCCAACCTTCTTCGTACCAGTACTTGAAAACATTTCCATGTATCCATTTTATTTTCTCCTAGCATGAGAAGAGATGACCAACCTTCTTCCTAGGGTCAGCCCCTCCACTTGTGAGCTGGGTCCCATTTATGCAGTAACTCCTCATACAGAGCCCATATACCACCAGGAATGTGCTAACAAGATGGAAGAAATAATAAGTAGCCAGGCTGTGCTTTGCCCTGATGGAACAATTTGCATCAGGAGAGACAGGATCTGGCAAGTTCGTCTCCAGTCACCAACCCTCCTGCCATCATTCACATGGAGTTTCACTTTCTACTTTCTTTGACTCTGACTTCACCCCTTAAATATCTCTCTATTCCAAACTGAGAGCTCTTTCACCTATTTCTAATGCTTCAGTCACTGACTTCCCAGGCTTTTCCTGTCTACTCACCCTGTTCCTTCTGAGGTTGTTATCGATTACCCTATTAAGCATTAGATATTTCCTGAGGAAGCTTGTCAAAAGAGGAACTCATTCCCAGCAAGATGGCTTAGCAAGGTAAAGTACCTGTTTGCAAATCTGGCAGAATGTGATCCCCGCATGCCCTGGTTTGTTTTTTGTAAACTTGACACAAGCTAAAATTACACGGGAAGAGGGAACCTCAATTAAGAAAATGCCTCCAGTAGATTGGTCTGTAGGTGTAGTTGGTTGATTTTTTTTTTTTACTTTTTTTTTTACTTTTTTGGGGGGCCCACTACCCAGCTCCCAAATAAACACACACAGAGGCTTATTCTTTCTATGAATGCCCAGGCTTAGCTTGGCTTGTTTCTTCCCAGATTTTCTTAAATTATCCCATCTACCTTTTTCCTCTGGGCTTTTACATTTCTCTGTGGCTGTATGTCTTTTCTTTCTATCATACTCCATCTTACTCCATGTCTGGTCTCTTCTTTTCTTGCTCTCGATCTCTCTGCCTAGATTTATTCTCCTATTTATTCTCTCTGCCTGGTAGCCCTGCCTATTTCTCTCCTGCCTAGCTATTTATTGGTCATTAAGCTCTTTATTAGACAATCAGGTTTAGACAGGCAAAGTAACACAGCTTCACAGAGTTAAACAAATGCAACATAAAAGAATGCAGCACATCTTTGCATCATTAAACAAATGTCCCACAGCACAAACAAATGTAACACATCTTTAAGTAATATTTTACAAGTGGCAAGCCTGTAGGGGCATTTTCTTGATTAATGATTATTGGGGGAGGGTACTCCACTTGCTCTGGGTGATGCCACATCTGAGCAGATGGTCCTGGGTTGTTTAAGAAAGCAGGATAAACAAGTTGTGAAGAGTAAGGTAGTAAGCAGCAACCCCCACAAGGTCTCTGTTTCAGTCTGTCTTAGCTTCCCTTCATGATGAACTAAAACTGAAAAGCTGAAATAAATTGTTTTTGATCATGGTATTTATCACAGCAAAGGAAACCAAACCAGAACACTGAATCCCACTATGGAAGGAGAGACTGACTCCTGAAAGCTGTTTGCTGACTTCTACATGCACATGTTGGCATGTGTAAACAAACACACTTACACACACACAATAATAATAATAATAAAATAAAAATTAAATAAAGCAGCAACAAACACACATGGCAGGCCATACTCAAATTTGCCTGCCATTCTGGCACTCCTTAGATAGATATAGAAGTCGAGGAATTCCAGGGTAAGCTTGGCTCTGTAGAAACCAGCTTGGCTCCATGAGATCTTGTTTCAAAAAAACAAACCAAATATACCCAGCCCTAAACCAAAACCAGGGGCTGGAGAGGTGACTCAGAAGGTGACGGCATTTGTTGCCAAGACTGAAGACCTGAGTACGATCCCCAGGACTCATGTGGTAGAAGCAGAGAACAGACTCCCAAAAGCTGTTCCCCAATCTTCCAACTTGAGCCATCCCCCAATAAATATATGTAATCTTAAAGGAGGGGAACTTACTGTAATATTCATTCCTGAGCCTATCCTTAGAAATTTCTAATAACACATGTCTGGGTTGAAGTCGGGTTATTGCAATTTTAGAAGCTACACAGAAGACTCCAAATGTGCTTTTGCTTAGGAACACGAGGCTCCCCCTCTACCACATCTGCCTCACTTCCCAGATGTGGGCGCTCCTAGACTACACTCTTGCAGCCCTGTTCTTTCTCCCAGAGAGACCACCCAGGGATCAAGGTCCCCACCCCACTGTTGGTCCATATCCAGGACAGAAATATTTTTAATTCTCTCTCTTCCTGAGAGTTGGCATCTACCTCTTCATTGGCTTGATGTATATTTCCAACATGTGTTTCACCCTCACTAAAACCAGCCTGTCTAAATAAACTCATCAGTTACGTCATTCCCCAGCTGGAGACATCCCTCTCTGTTTTCCTGCCTTCTATTTATGACTATCATCTTCTTATACACCTGGCATAAAACTCTAGCATCATTCCTGATTCCCAGCCTTTCTTCATCTCACGTCTGACACATCATCCTGCCAATTCCCTCCATGTAATGACTCCTCAATAAAAAAAAAAAACTATCATCTGTCTGTCTGTCTGTCTGTGGAGGGTAGTTGCATGGATGAATGTGTGTGGAGGTCAGATACAGGAGTCAGTTGTCTCTTTACACCATGTAGATTCTGGGGATTGAACTCAGGTCCTCAGGCTTGGCAGTCAGTACTTTCTCCCCTAAACTATTTTTCTGGCCTCCAGTAGTGGTTCTTACTTCTCTTTCTGTTTCACTGATATTTTAATCACTGAGGTCTTTGGTCAGTTACTGATGGCTGGCACAGCTGCCTGCCGGCTCTTCCTGAATCCAGAACTTCTCCAGAGTCACATTTGTCCCCTATTGTCCTTGTGCTGGATTTCACCAAGACACAGATGGACTAATGGTATTCTGTAGCCAGTTAATTTGGGTCTCAAAGAAAGCTCCATGGAAGTCAAACTGTACTCAGGATGTTGACTGTGCTAGGTCTTAGAGAAGAGTTAATTGTAGCACTGGGTTTTGAAATCAGGTAACAGAATATAGCTAACCTGCAAGGAAAGGCCAAACATATCTTAACCTGTAGTGTGACAGCCTCCTCCCAGGCTGTGCTTTATGGGTTCTGCTGTCACTGCCTCTGATTCTCATTTTTCTGTGCCTGCCTGATTGGCTTCTCATGGGCTTCCACTTAGTTATATCAACACATGTACTGAGTTACCCTTGAACTAGCTGATTTGTAGGCCATTCTCAAGTGTGCTCCCTCTTCATGTTCTTTCTCTGACCAACTATGCAATTATACAGCTACTTTCTGTCTTAGAATCCTATTCTCCACTCCATATCTTCAGGTTATTGGTGAAAGAAGCCCGGTGCCCATCATTTAACAATAATGATTATCCAATTGCATAAAATGAGAAAGAAGTCACCCACAATCATACCCAGGAGAATCTCCTTTAAAGTGTCCACATTCTCTATCTTCAGATAATTTTCATGCCATTACAATTATAGTATTCCATCCTTCTATAACGTGTTTTCTTTATTTCAGCATTTCCAGAGAACTGCAATAAGAAGCTGATAACAGGAACTGAAGACAGGAGACATTAAAAAGGTAAAAATGGAGAAATAGTAGGGTCAATATGGCATGTACAATGAAGAAGTCATAGATAGTTACAAATTAATTGTGCATGAAAGGTCCAACTGAAGAAATTGGCACATCTTTTCCACGAAAACAAATAGGGAAATTAGATGAGATTTCCAAAACCCTTTCTGAGTTCTGGAAATTGGCACAAAGGAAGTGATAAATTGAGAAGCCCTCATTGATAAAGAAAATGGAACTTGATGAATGCATTGCAAGGGTGTAACATTCCCATATGGGGCTTCTTTTGACTTCTCTGCAACCAGTGAGGTTGATATGGCAGCTCTCCCAGAATTGGCTGACCAGGAAGGTCAGTCTGTCTCTACTTGGGATAGAGGGATTTTATATCAAGTGGAAAGGAGAAAACCTGAACTCAGGTACTCAGTGGGTAAGATGGTAAATTTGGTAGGAAAGAAATGGGATGGATTTTGGGGTTATAGGACTAGTGAAAGAAATGGCAGCCTGACAGATGATGTATCCATGACACGTAGTGCTGGACTTGAAAAGACAGCTATCCTCACTCATCTAGCTGAGTGGAAGGTTCCATGAATCCTGGGTATAATACATTTTGAGCTAACTAGATTGAGTAAAAAGGAGAAGACACTAAGTATTAGACTAGAAATGTCACAGAGGATATCACTGGAGATAGAAGATGTCTTCGTTATTTTTTTGTTAAATTGACACAAACTAGAATCATCCGGGAACAGGTAGTTGAACTGAGATGAAACCTTTATCAGATTGTAATCAAGTCTGTTGGGCCTTTCCATTTAATTCTTGAGCCTGGAGGGCTTAGTCTATCAGAACAGTGCCACACAGACAGATGGTCCTGGAGTGCATCAGAAAGCAGGTTGAGCAAGCTATTGGGAACAAGCCCGTGAGCAACACTCTGCTATGGCCTCAGCTTCAATTCTTTTCTTCCAGATTTACTCCTTGGGTTTCTGCACCGACTTCCCTTCATGATGAACTGTAAACTATAAGCTGTAAGCTGTTAGAGGAACAAACCCTTTTCTCCACAAACTGCTTTTGGTTATGGTTTTTATTGTACAACAGAAAGGCAACCAGTGCAGAAGAGAAAACGGGAACAGAGGTAGAAGTGAGCATAAAGATGTAGAAATCCATCTGTCAGTAGTTCCTTCCCTTCCCTTCCCTTCCCCTCCCTCCCCTCCCCTCCCCTCCCTTTCTCTCCTCCTCCCTCCCTCCCTCCCTCCCTCCCTCCCTCCCTCCCTCCCTCCCTCCCTCCCTCCCTTCTTGAACTTGTTATGTATTTGAGCAGTTCCTTGAACTTATGTTCCTCCTTCCTCCAATTCATAAGTTTTGGGATAAGAGGCATTGACCACCATGCTGGATGTATGCAGTGCTATATTGAAATCCAGGGAAAAAGTGCTTAGTTACTCCCATTTATGTCACTATTGTACTAGTGGGCATGTCTTGTTAGGTCAGTCATTATTTTAGCACACTGGAGTCATAGCTAGGCAAGGCTAATGATTACTTTTCTTATCTAGTAACATGTATAGCATGTTCCAGGTCTATGAGAACCATCCAGTAGGATTTATGTAATATTTTCCAAGTAATGTCCAAAAGTTCCCTTTATATTTTTTTAATCTAACTTATTTTTTTTCATTTTTTATTTAAATTAGAAACAAGCTTGCTTCACATGTTAATCCCAGCTACTTCTCCTTCCCCTCCTCCCCCACATCCCCAACAGGCCTCCCAGCCCCCCACCCAATCCCCACTCAGATCCACAAGGAGGGTGAGGCCCTCATGGAGGATCTCCAGAGTCTGTCATTTCATTCAGGGCAGGGCCTAGGCTCTCTCTGAAGAGTTCAGGTTGAAAGAGCATCCCTCATTGTGGGATGGGCACAAGGATAAATACTTATCTACTACCCAAGGATAAATACTTATCTACTACCCAAGGCCCCATTATACTTAAATCATTTCCCTTACTTCATACTATCCCTGACTTCTTACAACCACTGATTTGTTCTCTAGTTCTATAATTTTGCATTTCAAGTCCTACAAATGATCAGTTAGACTTGGATTGATCTTCCTTCCTTTCTTTCTTCCTTCCTTCCTTCCCTTTTGCTTTTCCTTTGGTATTTTTAAAATTCAATTTAAATTAGAAACAAGTTTGCTTCACATGTCAATCCTAGCTCCCTCTCCATTCCCTCCTCTCTCTTCCCCTTCAACCCTCCCCCAACTCTTCCCCCAATCCCCACTTCACTCTCCAAGGAGGGTGAGACCCTTCTTGGGGTATCTGGAAAGTTTGTCATATGATCTGGGGAAGGGCCTAGGCCCTCCCCCATGTGTCCAGGCAGAGACAGCATCCTTCCATGGGGAATGGGCTCCCAAAGTCCATCTGGAAGACAGGGCTAAATGCTGATTTATTGCCTGAAGCCTGAAACGATGCTGAGGGCTCCTCACTGACACCCACATTCAGGAGGTCTGGATCAGTCCCATGCTGGCCTCTCAGCTATCAGACTGGTGTCTATGAACTCTCACTTGTTCAGGCCAGCTGTTTCTGTGGGTTTCACCCACCAAGTCATAACCACTTTGCCCATCACTCCTCCCACTCTGTAACTGGGTTCCAGGAGTTCAGTTCAGTGTTTAGCTGTGGGTGTCTGCCTCTGCTTCCTTAAGTCACTGGATGGAGGCTCTAGGATGGCACCCAAGGAAGTCATCAATCACATTATAAGGAAGGGCATTTAAGGTAGCCTCTCCACTTTTTTTGTTTTTCTTTTATTATTTTAATCTTAAATAGCTTGCTTCACATGTCAATCCCAGTTCCCTCTCCCTCCCCCCTCCCTCACCCCCCAACATCCCCCCCAGCCTCCCACCCTATTGCCACTTCCTTCCACATAGGGGATATCCAGAGTCTGTCATCTCACTCAAGCACTCCCCCTAAGAGTCCAAGCTGAGAAAGCATCCCCCTTTGTGTTATGGACACACGAAGTTCATCTGCATGACAGGGATAAACACTGATCCACTGCCCAGGGTCCCATAGGTTGCCGAGGCCTTCTCACTGACCCCCACACTCTGGGGGTCTGAATCAGTCCCATGCTGGCCTCCCAGCTATTGGTCTGGTGTCCAAGAGCTCTCCCCTGTTCAGATCAGCTGTCTCTGCTGGTTTTGCCAGCCCATTCTTTGCCAATTTGCTCATTGCTCCTCTCTCTCTGTCACTGGGTTCCATGGGTTCAGTTCAGAGTTGAACTATGGGGGTTTGCCTCTGTTTCCATCAGTTACTGGATGAAGGCTCCAGGATGGTTATGGACATCAAGTTCATTATCAGGAATGGGCATTCGAGATGATCTCTCCACTATTGCTTAGCTTGCCAGTTGATGTCATCCCTTTAAATCACTAGAGGTCACACTGGTGCCTGATCTGTCTTCTAACCTATGATTCCCTCTTCCCCCCGCTCCCACTCAACCTTCCTGTTCTTCCATGACCTACTCTCTCTTCCTTTTCTCCCCCTCTCTTTTTCCCAGCTCCCACTCCCCTCCACACCTCGCCGTGTTCCCCATCTGTTCAGAAGATCTTGCCTCATTCCTCTTCTCTGGGGTACCATGCATATCTCTCAGGTTATTTCCTGTTTCCCAGACTCTCTGCCAGTGGAAGTGCAGACTGGAACTATCCTGATCCATGTCTAAACTCCATATATGAGTGAGTACATACCATGTTTGTCTTTTTGTGACTGGGTTACCTCACTCAGGATGGTTTTTTCCAGTGCTATCCATTTACCTGTGAATTTCAAGATTCCATTGTTTTCCACTGAGTAGTACTCCATTATGTACATGTGCCACATTTTCTCCATCCATTCCTCATTTGAGGGGCATCTAGGTTGCTTCCAGGTTCTGGCTATTACAAATAATGCTGCTATGAACATAGTGGAGCAGATGTCCTTTTTGTATGAATTTGCATCTTTTGGATATATGCCCAAGAGTGGAACCGCTGGGTCTTGTGGTAGATTGATTCCCATTTTCCTGAGGAATCTCCATACTAATTTCCAAAGTGGCTGTATGAGTTGGTACTCCCACCAGTAATGGAGGAGTGTTCCCCTCTTTCCATATCCTCTCCAGCATAAATTATCTTCAGTGTTTTTGACTTTAGCTATTCTGACAGGAGTAAGATGGTATCTCAAAGTTATTTTGATTTGCATTTCCTGGATGGCTAAGGATGTTGAGCACTTTCTTTTTTTTTTTTTTTTTAGTTTTTTTTTTAAATTTTAAATAGCTTGTTTTACATGTCAATCCCAGTTCCCTCTCCCTCCCCTCCTCCCGCACTCCCCTTCCACCCTCCCTCCCACCCTATTGCCACATACTTCCACATAGGGGATGTCTAGAGTCTATCATTTTACTCTTGGTAGGGTCAAGGCACTCCCCTAAGAGTCCAGGCTGAGAGAGCATCTCTCTTTGTGCTATAGGCACATGAAGACTGTTTGTATACCAGGGATAGACACTGATCCACAGCTCAGAGCCCCATAGGTTGTCCAGGCCTTCTCACTGACACTCACATTTGGGGGGTCCAGATCAGTCCCATTCTGGCCTCCCCACTGTCGGTCTGGGGTCCAAGAGCACTCCCCTGTTCAGATCAGCTGTCTCTGCTGGTTTTGCCAGCCCATTCTTTGCCAATTTGCTCATCATTCCTCTCTCTCTGTCACTGGGTTCCTTGGGTTCAGTTCAGTGCTTAGATGTGTGTTTGCCAGGATGAAGGCTCCCGGATAGTTATAGACATCAAGTTCATTATCAGGAATGGGCATTCGAGGTGGTCCTTCCACTATTGCTTAGCTTGCCAATTGATGTTATACCTTTAGATCACTCGAGGTCACTCTGGTGCCTGATCTGTCTTCGATCCTATGATTCCCTCTTCCCCCTATTCTACCCCCACCCCCTCAACTTCCTGTTCCCCCATGACCAACTCCCTTCCTCTTTACCCCCTCTATTCTTCCCAGGTCCCACTACCCCCCCCTCGCCCTGTTC